TCTCCTTCTGTCCTCCCTAGTCATTGTCCAACTCTCTGATGCATAACAAGCGATTGCAAAGACCATGGCCTGTATCAGGCATACCTTAGTCTCCAAAGAGACACTGTTGCTCTTGAGTACTTTAGAGAGGTCCTTAACAGCAGACTTTCCCATCGTAATACGCTTTTTGATTTCCTGACTGCTGGTGCCAAGAGTGTTGACTGTGGAGCCGAGCAAACTGATCTGGTTAGATCCATCTAACATCAGCAACAATATCCCTAGTACCACGACCCCTTCCAAACCCAGCCTGGACTTTCAGCAATTCTCTTCTGATGTGCTGTATTTATACATATATGTGGGTGGTTTACATAAAAACGTTCTTATTCGGGGTTGTTTAAAGACATATTCTTAATGTGTTAAGGGAATTCCATGAATAAGTTTTACCATATAAAAATATTGTCTTATATATTCTTTTATAAGATAGGACTGCAGTCTATATTGCGGAAGTGTTAGTGTCAAATGGATTTGAGTTCAAATTATACTCTCTGACTCTGGTAATGAATCTTCTCTCTCAGTGTCTATTTCTTTTTCTGTAGAGTTCCTAGGAATGATCTTAAAAGATAGTTGTAAAAATTAAAGAATATTTCTATTCCCTTAAACTTTTTGGACTTTTGTTTCCTCATGTTACTGTAAGTACTAAAAGTGCTTAGGCAACAGTAGTTGTCACTTACATTTTTAACCAGCTCTACACATTTACCAAAATGGAAGTTCTGACAGTCCTTTGATAAACAAGAGCTCTCAGCACTCTGCAGGGTGGACAGGAGACTTAGGATGTGAGCTGGGTGGTTGTGGCAGAAGGAAGACAAACTTCATTTCCTCCTGAGAGAATAAAGTGGACATGTGTGTTAATTTTCCTTCAGTACTTTCAGATATATTGAGGTGGTAAGGATGTGACATATATCTACATTTGCAATCACCACGCATGCTTTGCCGTTTTTAAGTATTGTTGTTAGGTGCCATCGGATTGACTGACTTATAGCAACCCTAGGAACAACAGCTGAAAATGTTACCCCTATCTTGTACCTTCCTTGCCACCTCTGCCATACTGAAGCCTTTCACTGCAGTCAGGGATCCTCTACTTTTTTTTTGGATGTGTTTTTCTAAGGACTGGCACCTTCTGACTGCATTCCTAAATAAATTATATGAGATTAAGTTTTACCACCTTTGCTCCAAGTATCACCCTGGTTTTGTAGTTCATCCAGGATGGATTTTGTTGTTGGGTTTTTTGTGGTGTTTTTTTGGTTTTTTTTGTTGTTGTTGTTGTTAATTCTTTTGGCAGTCCATGGGATATTTAACACTCTTTACTAATACCATAGTACAAAGGCATTAATTCTTTGATTCTTCCTTATTCATAGTGCAACTATCACTGCATAATTTGAGCCGTCACATATTAGTCTTTAAGTTGACATCCTTGCTCTTTAAAGAAGTCCCTGACAACAGATTTTCACAGTGCAACACATCTTTTGATTTTTGACTGCTGCTACCATGGTGGTTGATTTGTGGATCTAGATAAAAATTAAATCCTTTAAATCTTCAGTCTTTTCTCCATCTATATAATGTTGCCTGTTGGTTTGGTTGTAAGGATTTTTGTTTTCTTGATGACTTGTAATCCATTCTGAAGGCTGTAGTCTGAACTTCATTAAGTGCTTTTAAGTTTTCTTCAGTTTCTGCAAGCAAAGTTGTGTCATCTACATAATGCAAGTTGTTGAGTCTTCCTCCAATCTTGGTGCCTTATTTTTCTTCATATAGTCCAGCTTCTTAAATTATTTGCTCAGCATACAGATTGAATCAGTTTAGAAAAGAGATACAACCCTAATACACACCTACCTGATTTTGAACCATACTGTCTTACCTTATTCTAACCCAAGGAAGACTGCTTGGTATATGTACAGATTTTGTGTGACCACAATTAAAAGTTTTGAAATTTCTATTCTCAATATTGCCCATATGTTATTGTAATCTACAGTTGCCTTTTCATAGTAACTAATAACAAGGAAATCTCACTTTGATATTCTCTGCTTTCCACCAAGATCTCTCTAACATCAGTAGTGATATCCCTTGTTCCAAGATCTCATTTGAATCTAGATTGAATTTCTAGAAGTTTTCTGTTGAGGTACTATTCTAGCATTTTTAAAAAATGGTCAAGATTTTGATTGCATATGATATTAATGACATTGTTTAATTTTTCTTTTTTTTTTTTTTCAGTTGGTTGGTAGGTAGCTGTCTTCAGAATTTCTTGACATAGAATAGTGAATGCATCCAGGGTTGCCTCTGTTTGCTGAAACACTCAGTTAATATTCTGTTGATTCCTGGGACCTTATTATTTGGTAATGTCTTCAGTGTAGCTTGGACTTCTTCACTTAGTATTATTGGTCTTTGACCAGATGTTCATTCCTGAAACTAATTCCATTTGGTATAGTGACTCTTTATATTCCTTTTATCTTTTGATATTTCTGCATTATTAAATAGTTTGCCCATAGGATCTTTAGTATTGCTGTGCAAGAAGATTTGATTTTTTTTAAAAAATTATTTTAGTTCTTTCACTTTGAGAGATTAGTGTTCTCTTTTGGTTTTAGAACTTCAAGTCTCTGTACATTTCATTAAAATCTTTTGCTAGTTAAAATTTATTTTAGGCTGAGTTGATAGCCAGTCACAAGGTTTTTGTAAGACCACACTTAGGCATTCAAGGTAGGTAGTAAGCACCAAGGTTTTAGTTATATAATTCAAAGGGCTCATCATGAGTCATGACGGATGATGCTAGTAGGCTAAGTATAATATGATTGTATTTTTGCAGTTCATCAATATCTATGTGCCTTACGTATTGCACCGCCAACTGAAAGGTCAGAAGTTGAAGCCAGCAGCCACTAAGAAAGAACAATGGATGATCTTCCATAAAGATTCACAGGCTCAAAACCTGATGGAGGGTCACTATGAGTCATAATGCATTAAACAACAATGGGTTTTAACAATGTGTTAAACTTTTTAAACGCCTTTAATATCAATCCTTAAATTTTAAGAAAAAATAGGAACTCATGCAATATTATTCAAAATGGGTGACCCTGGAGGATATTATGCTGAGTGAGGTATCTCAGTCACAAAGGGACAAATGCTATTTGGTGCCACTGTTGTAGAATGAGGCTGGCATTGGGGTGGGGGTAAGACTGAGAAAAACTGGATGAAATGTGTTTACGGCATTGAAGTCT